TAACGAAATTTGGCGGCTGGGATTAATCCAAACAATTCCTCAGAGCACTCCTCATGGTATATGCGAAAGAAAATGCAAAGAGATGTAACATCTCTTCGCAGCGCCAGTGAATCGAGCCGATCGGAAAGCACTCGGTCGTCGACGATTGAAGCCGCTCTGCGCTGGATAAGGTCAAGTGGAAGGAGCTGGCACTGGGGAGCCCCAGCCTAGAGATGGGAACAGTATTCCATGTGCGGCCGAACCTGCGCCTTATAAAGTTGCAGGTGGTGTGCCGGCATGAAATACTGTCCCGCTCTGCTGAGCACGCCTAGCTTTTTAGAGGCCAATTTGGCCTTCTCTTCCAAGTGACCACGAAACTGCACGTCACTCTATATGTCGACGCTGAAGATTCCGATACTGGCTAAGACAATAAGGGCAGTGCCTTGAAACTGAGGAGATACGACAAAGGGGTTCTTTTTAGTGGTAAACGTGCAAAATTTTGTCTTCTGGAGATTGAACTGGACAAGATTTAGTCGCCCCCAATCCAAGACTCTGTTCAGCAAAGACTCGACTTCAGACACAAGTTTGTCCCTGTACTCGGAGACGTTTTCCCGAGAAATATTGGCACGGCCGGTGTAAAGAGCATCACCAGTACTGTCATCTGCATAGCAATGAATTATTAGAGGCTAAAAGGGTACACGCGATAACTAAAGCCAGTGCGGTCTCTCTAACCATAGACGATGGTATACTAACTATTTAAGAGTGAACCGCCTTGGCAAAAATCTGTAGGATTTTTAGAGCTTCTAATGTGAAAGAAATGTACAGCTGATTAGTTTTTATGAATGCTTTTGATCCAATTGGCAACATAAGTGTGCCAACCGTGCGATGAAGAGCGAATCCAACTCAATGTCATAGTTGAATCTGAGAAGGACGATAGACTTTATAGGATATCTCAACTTATAAGTATCGACGACACGTCTTATAACTTCCAGTAAAAGTAAATCCGTGCATAATTGTAATTGCGTCAGTAAGACGACCTTTAGAGGTGCAACCTCAGACTTTGCACATACTACTCTGACCTTACAGACACCATTAAGCAACAAGACTTTAAGATACACGACAGCACCAAAGGCCCGTTCACTTGCGTCAGAGAATTCAATATTGGGAACAAAACAACCTGAGATAACACCCAGATATCGCGGTAAGTGTAACTTAGTGCTTAACCGCAACTCTGACTTCAATTGTTCGCAAGAGCGAATGATGCGCTCAGAGGGGAGTTTGTCGCAATCAATATTAGCTAGCCCAAGTCATTTATAAGAAACTTGGTGATTAAAATTATTGGAGCAATTAAACCTAATACGTCAAAAAAGTGTGAGATAGACGAGAGAATATTTTTCTTCGTATGAGGGCATCGTCATGGTTGAAATAAAATGCGAAATGCCCGATGGAAACCAGTCGTAAGACTATAGAAATGCTATTAGCATTTTAAGTAAGTTGAGTAGCAGCATCGACTGCTTTCTCTGTCGATATGACTGAATTTACTATATCATCAACATAAATGTCTCAACTCAGAATTACCTTTTCTAAAGGAAATCCATGTCTTTCATCCATACATAAGTATTACTAGACGGTGCGATATGCTAAAAATGGGCTACTTTTGAGGCCAAAAGCCAAGTGTTTATATATAAATAATTGTATAGGTTCCTGAGAATTAAACGTATACAAAATATGTTGCAGAGAGCGATCATATTCTGAACTCCTATACGCAGATATATTTGGCGAACATATTATACGTAATCATAAAAAGTATATCTACGTTACCTGGAAGAGTTTTGGAATAATCGGCAAGACATTATTTAAATTACTCATTTTGTGACATCTTTTTGAATACGGAAGTTGGCCAGTAACCTGGTCCAAATAAAAAGCTTCTATTTTATGCTGAAGTTTCTGCCTTGAACAAAAGCTAAGAGTAGTAGAGCCTCCACTAATTGTACGGTATCACCCTTACCTATTTATTCCCTTAATTAGATTTAGTATTTATACAAAGTCCTATTTTGCCACATTTATAAAGATACGTATGCGCAATAACAAAATATTGCACAGTTGGAAGCCGTAACAAGATAATATCGAGGTGCGTAGGTTCGTGTCGGTGCTTGTGTTGAAATATAATTAAAAGCGGTAACAAGGTTGTTAGACCTATGCCAGGTGTGATGTAAAAAATTTATTTGTCCTCTGACAAACTGAATAAAATAATCATAATTTGGAATGTTATTTGAATCGCGAATAAACATCTGATAATTCCTTGCGGTTTCCGAATCTTACAACTTCAGGCCAATATGAACAAAACTAAAATCATAATCTTAGGTCTTAAGACTCTCAAGGCCAGCTATACAAGTGCGGCGTATTTATCTATAATATGCTCTAAATTTGCGGAACCGGATGCAAATAGCTTAAGGAATAACAACTAGTTTAAATAGCTTACAGCTTAAACGCGCTTATTTCGGCAGTTGGTACAATCATTTTACGTGCTTGAGCCATGCTGCAGTTATATTAGTAGTACAGTTGTAGCACGAATGAGCCGGATCAACCGGGGAAGGACCACGCTCTCACAGAATACCAGCGTGAAATAGTAGCATAATGCTGCTGTATTTCGTATGGTGTGTGTAGAGAACCGGAGACCCGTTTTACTGGAAACGAGGCATTCCATCTTAGTCCTCACGGATGACAATGCATCTGCATTTTGATTTGTAATTGAAGATGTATGTAGATGTCTATAAGCCGCAGCAACCACTTACTATCAGGTGGAATGTGTGCTCGTTTGTCACCCTATCCTATAAAATAAAATAAATCATCATCATCATCTTCACAGCCCTTCACAAGTCAACTGCTGAACATAAAGCTCCCCCAGGGAATGCCACAAAGCACGGTCCTGAGCCACATGTATCCATTGACTTCCTGCATGTCTTACCAGGTAATCATTCTATTTAGTTAGTGGTTACACTTCACCTACCGATACGAGGCTGCCACCCGAGAATCTTTCTTCCCTATCAGTTGTCGGTTCTTCGAGCTATATTGCCGGCTCATTGACACTTCAGCTTACTAATCCGTTGGGCTATGTCGATCACTCTGGTTCTACTGCAGATATCCTCATTTCTAAGTTTATCACGCAGATAAACCCCGAGCATTACCCTCTCCATAGCTCGCTGAGTGACCTTGAGATTCCTCATACATGAAGGACTACGTCTGAAGTTCGTAAGTTGTCACTGGAAACAGGCACTGGTTGTACAATCTAGTTTTTAGAGATTGAGGTATACCTGATGAGAAGATATGTCGTAATTTCCCCGAACGCTACCCAGCCGAGTTAAATCCGTCAATTGACCTCTCGGTCGAAGTTGGTCTTATCTAGTCGGACTATTTGTCCAAGTTACTACCGGCATAGGTGTGACATAGTCGTTACACAACATGATCTTTGTTTTGTCCATGTTCATCGTAAGACCTATCCGTTGGGAGGCACTATTGAGCATAGTGCTTAGGTCCTCCAGCGATTCTGCTATAACATCAATGTTACAAAATGTACAAAAAATTTACCCTCAACAAAAAAAAAATACAAATAAAAGATCCCTCGTGCTCTCTGAAACAAAGATTTGTGACAGTAAACACCTGGCTGCCGAGCTCCAACATGTCAAGCAAGTTTTGCATGACAACAAGCTTCGGGTCCCGCGCCTACGTCACAGAGAACGAGTGAAGCCGGCCACAGTCGAGCGTGTACCTGCTGTACTGCCGTATGTTAGAGGAGTCACTGACAAGATTGGCTACATCTTGAAGCGCGCTTCCATCAAAACATACTTCAAGCCGCCGAAGAAGATTGGTCAGTTTTTACCATCAGTCAAGTGTAACGTCCCTCTGCAAGATGCAGGAGTGTACAAGCTTGATTGTGAATGTGGTCTCTCCTACATAGGACAAACTAAAAGATCAATTAAAACCCGCGTCAAAGAACATATAGCTGATGTGAAGAATCGACGCTCCGGGAAGTCTGCAGTCTGTGAACATGTACAGGATCGCCTCCGTCACTACATCAGATTTGATAGACCACAAATCCTCGCTAAAGAACACCGATTCCTTCCAAGGATGATTCGCGAGGCTATTGAAATCAAAAAACATCCTAATTTCAATAGAGAAGATGGCTGGGTGCTACCATCTGCTTGGGATCCTGTAATAAATAAAATTAAATCCCAACCCAAGCATACAACTGCAAGACTCCATGATACCATAAGTTCATACTGTGTAGATCGGAACAAAAGTTAAATTTTAATCTATGGTAACCGCGGTTAACTATGACAGCTGGACGTTGAACATCTCAGTCCTTCCCGTGACCATGGGTGCTGTAAAGCTCTCGAAACGTCGGGTAAAAAAGTTAAATATACGCGATAAATTCCGTAAAAATTAGTATTATTTCAATAAAACATTCTGGTTATTTTTCGTTATAAAAACTGAGAAAAGTATTAACTAGCCTTTAAAATAACAGTGTAAGTGAAAATTTACGTAGGAATTTACACGCAATAGTTTTGAGGCAAAAAAGATCCAATTTTTAGCAATAAAATAATTAGCCAAATATACTTCAAATGATCAGAAATAACCCTATACGGCTCGAACTGACCACAGTTTATGGAAAATATGTGGCTCAAAGTACCAAAATTTTAACGTAAATTTCTAACCCAAAATGTTAACATAGCCAAAAGTTAATAAGGAGCTTAAATAATATGTAAATTTATTATTAAATCTAAGATGATTAATCATTCAGCAATGCCATAATGTTGCAATAGCAAAATTACGACAGAATGGCGTTGTATTTAGCTTTCATTCCATATTACAAACTAAATCTCTCAACGACGATTAACCCCCGTTATTTTAATACAACATCATGGGTACCATTTACTACTTGTGGATTGTGTGTACTCGTATGATTAAAATTTAAATTTAGTACAGTTATGTGTAAAAAAAATTATTTAACTTTTATTCAGATATTGCTACTTGAAGCTGGCACTGAAGAACCAGACGTTACGAGTGTCCCCGGCTTGGCACCGACTTTGGGCGGATCTAATATCGATTGGATGTATACGACGCAACCAGAAGAACGAACTTGTAGAGCACAGAGAGGACAAACTTGCGCATGGCTAAGGTAAGTATAGTAATACTCTGGACTTACGCGATAGATGGGATCAAGCGAAAGCCGTGCCGTGTAAGTGGAATTCACGTAAGTCGAAGGTCAATTTTGCATATTTGCGTTTGTGAAATCGGGACGAGAGCACAGAGTAAATAATAGTACTACGGACAGAAGTTATACTCCTTTTATGTTGAGTGCTTGCCGACGTTTAATAGCCTACATGATTATTATTAATTAAAAAAATCGCGCACGCAAGCTAAATAAAATTTTATCGCTCCGCGAAGGTGTCAATATTACTTTTCATCTTTTCCCCTTCCTACATCTCGACGGACTTACCGTGGTTATTAAGAGATGTCAATAAAGAGTAAAAAAATACATTGCGAAAAGTTAATTAAATTACTTGTGTACTACGGCGAAGTGACTGTTAAATAACTTAGGTATTCTGACTATGAACGACTGACCCCATTTTCACTACTTGTTTCGGAAGAAAAAGGTGGATAGTGTAAGCAACAAATAGATTTGATAAACGATTGCTGACAGAAATATGATCGTATTCTACTTAGTTAACATCCTTTTTAAATATTAGTATTTTATAGTATTATAACTTAAAATATTTTAATTACTATAGACAAGTATAGGTATGTAAGTAGATACCTACTTGGATAGTGAAAAAAATTTCAACTAAGTTTTTATATATAGTACTTATGTATTATTTCTGCAATTTTTTTTATTAATTCTTTTTTTTTTCTAATTTTCTACTTTTGTTAATTCTTTTTTGTTAAAATTTTAATTTAAAAATTATATATGTATATATAAAAATAAATATTTTTTAATTAAATTAAAACTTTTTCAACTATTTTATCTTCCAATTAAATATACTAAACACTAAACAAAAAATATTTCAAAAAATATTTACAAAAAACTTTTTACGTAAACAGCGTCCAACATTCAATCGCCTAGAACGCACTAGCCCCGATTGCGTATGTGTAGCAAGAGTGACAGAGGGCTGACTAGAGTCTAAAGAAAACAATAAGTTAGAAGAATCATATTTAATAAAATATTAGATAATAAAAACAATTTACATTACTATAAATAAAACAACATAAACTGAAGTTATTTCAAATCGAAGGCATTCTAACAATATCATCTGACAAGTTAAGTTTTTCTCCTTTAACTTAAGCTTACAAAAAAAAGATGTCTTGCTGACTGCAAGACGAAGTACGCAAATGCAGACAAAACTCTATTAAATTTCCTTTTGATGGGCGTAATCTTAATGATTTTATGCAAACCCAACACATTATTTAGCATCTAATATTCTTCTTTTATCTTATTATGATACTATTAATGTTAGACCTGTCCTTCTATTACTGAAGAGTAGGGGTTTTATTTTATAGTAATAGCCACAGTGTCAATAAGCAGCCTATAATTTATACAAATTTTTTCACCAATAAAAGAGATGTCGATAAACTCATTAGATCACTACAGTATAAAGTGAAATTAGAGTATACAATTTTTTTAAAGAAAATCATGTTGAGTGTGTGTTGAAACCAGTTAAAGCTTGTGAGAGTTTTACGTGGAGCACGAACGATTACTTATTACGTATACTGAATCAGTGCACTGCAACTATCTTTCATCCCGCGGGTACGTGCAAAATGAGACTAAAAACGATACAAACGCTGTAGTTGATGATAAATTAAAATTTTATGGATTTGAAAATTAAAGGGTAGCAGATGCATCAATAGTGTCAAATATAATTCCAGGTAACACACATGCACCTGTCATAATGATAGGTGAAAAAAGTTTCTGATATGATAAAAGAAATCTGGTAGAATAGAAAAATTTTGACATTGCAAGATGATTTTACATCTGTTATCAATAAACGATATGTAGCAATTAATAAAAAGAATAAATGATTATGTATGTACTGTGTTTCATTTTAAATCCGTCATAAAATCAAGAAAAACGAAATGTAACATTGTAGTACCGGTAAGTTGCCGGTACAAGATAAAGCATATTTCACATCTTTGTCAATAATATTAAATACTTAGTAATTTATAGATATAAAAGTAAATACGGCATTTTAATCATGTAGACTCGTGTAGACTAAAAAGTTTGGTAAATAAATAGTTACTAGCAGAGTTTGTAATCATTTCGCATGTATAAATACTTGATAATTAATACTCGTAAGAATTTATTTGTTATATATATATATATATATATATATATATATATATATATATATATATTGTTAAACTAATTTTAAATTTGCCGCCGTTTCTTAGCCGATGTTTAACTGACCTATGACAATCAATGGTCAATGTAGTCTATGACAGCTCTATAAAATAATAAACTCTCTCTATTATTCTATGGTACAACGAGTGTGGTTTGATTTCTCTAAATTCCTATAAATAAAATCAAAGTCAACAGATTATGGGCCCAGTAAAGCCAAAGTTATAAATAAAAGCGATTGTGAAGTTCATTAGAATAACAAGTAAAAGTTAAAAATAACTTGTACCTGTGAAGCGACATTGTGTCTCCAACTCCAAGCTTCGCGGTTCAGTTTTCCAAATCCCAGTGATCATGGCTACTAGCAATCCTCTGGCATTAATAGAAAAATTAACAGGCCGAGAAAACTACAATACCTGGCGGTTTGCTGTGAAAACATACCTTCAACATGAAGAACTTTGGGAATGCATAGAAAATCCCAACAATGAACCATTCGACGCAAAGAAGGACACAAAAGCCAACTCTATGATAATTTTACTTGTCGATAGTATTAATTACGTACACATCCAAGAGGCAGAAACGGCGAAAGAAGTGTGGGAAAACTTATCCCGCGCTTTCGACGACTCTGGGCTTACACGCAGAGTTGGACTACTACGTGATCTCTGCACTACTACACTATCTGATTGCCAAAACATAGATGAATACGTGAGCAAGATAATGTCTACAGCACATAAGCTCAGAAATATAGGATTCCAAGTTGATGATGAGTGGCTCGGGACACTTTTACTCTCCAGGCTACCTGACCATTACAAACCAATGATCCTTGCCATTGAGAGCTCTGGAGTGAAAATAAGTGCAGATTCTGTTAAATCAAAATTGCTCCAAGAAGTAAAATCTGAAAACAATAACTCTGCTTTTACATCTGCTTATGGTTATCAAACCAAGAATGTGAAAAAAGAAGTTCACAAAAGGTCCTCGATGTTTTCAGTGTAACAAATATGGACACAAGAGTACGGAATGCAGGACAAAACCGAAAGAAAAAGTTGCCAAATCAAATAGTTCTTATGCTGCCGCATTTGTCATTCCATCTGACAACAACAGCTCCGCATGGTACATTGATTCTGGGGCAACCATGCACATGACAAGACATCAAAACCTTCTTCAAAATGAACGCTCACCGCCTGTAGAACAAATCAAAGTTGCAAACAACAAAACACTTTCAGTGAGTAGCTCTGGTGATGTGACATTGAATACATTGAATGGAGAAAATCAGTCAAATGCAATCTTATTTACAAACGTTCTGTACGTACCAGAAATTGCAGTGAATCTAATATCTGTTCATCAAATTACAGAAAAGGGTGGTCTAGTTAAATTTGACTCCAATGGCTGTACTATACTGAACAGACAAAATGTTATTGTAGCAACAGCAACAAAAGTTAACAACATGTACCGGCTTAACATGAATACTGACTATGGATACGTGTCTGATATTAAACAAAATGATATATTTTATGGCACCAACGAATGGGTCATCTGAACCTAGACACCTTGAAGAAATTGAAAGAGAGTTCTGAAGGATTCACATTGTCTGATAAACAAGTAAACAATATAACTTGTATAACATGTAAAGAAGGCAAGCAAACAAGAATGTCCTTCAAGAGTCCAGGATCACATTCTTCAAAACTATTGGAACTGGTGCATTCTGACTTATGTGACCCCATGGAAACACAGTCATTAGGAGGGGGCAAATACTTTTTAACATTTTTGGACGATTATTCCAAAAAGGTGTTTGTGTATATTTTGAACAACAAAACTGAGGTATTGTCAAAATTCAAAGAGTTCAAAACAGAAGTTGAAAACCAAACTGAATGTAAACTCAAATGTATTCGGACTGACTTCCTTAAATGTGCAGGAATAAGACACCAAACATCAACTCCTTATACTCCTGAGCAAAATGGAGCTGCAGAGAGGTTAAACAGGACATTAGTCGAGAGAGCAAAGTGTATGATTCTGAATGCTGGATTGGCAAAGTTTTTCTGGGCTGAAGCTATAAAAACTGCTGCATACATCATAAATAGATCTCCAACTAAATCCTTACTGTTTAAAACACCTGAAGAGGTTTGGACAGGACATAAGCATAATATATCAGTAATATGAAGGTGTTCGGGTGTGAGGCCATGGTCCACTTACAAAAAGAAAAACGCAAGAAGTGGGACCCAAAATCACAGAAAATGATCTTCATTGGCTATTTCGAGAACACAAAAAGGGTACAGATTCATATTACCAATTACACAAGAACTATTATCAAGAGCAGGTGCTGTATTTCTTGAATCCACCATTAGAGGAACTATGCAGCTCTGGAATTATCTGAAACAGAAAACAAAACATTAGATACACATAGTAAAAGTAATAATGAAAGCCTAATGTCAAATGAGTCCAATGAAGAAAGCAAGAAAAAATCTTATAACTCAGATAGCTCATATGATACTGTTAAAAATAACTCGGATTTAGAGATACTTACCAGAAATGAAGATTGATACTCCTCCGCGAAGTAACATAACTTTGAGACCTAGAAATAAGAATAAAGAACAAACTTACCTTTGCTTGATGAATCCTTAAAGCCTGAGCAAGTCCCTGAATCATACAAAAAAGCTATTAATTGAGTTGTATGAATGCTGAAAAATGGAAAAAGTCAATTGAAGAAGAACTTGAAGCCGATGAAAGAAATGGCACGTGGATAGTGGTAAACAAGCCTGCAAATACAAACATATTCGGCTGTAAATGGTTTTTAGAGTTAAAGACCAACCAACGGGTCCTCGCTTCAAGTCCAGGCTGTGTGCAAAGGGTTTTGCACAGGCAGAAGGTATTGACTATAAGGAAACATACTCTCGACGTAAGTATGATTCAATACGTTTGTTATTCTCTAGCTGCTAAAAACGGCTATGAAATTCTTCAACTTGACATTAAACAGCTTTCCTGTATGGAGAACTAGAAGAAAACATATACATGTATCCACCTGAAGGTCTAATATATGGACCCAATAAAGTATGTAAATTGATAAAGTCACTGTATGGTCTTAAACAAGCACCACGGTGCTGGAACACCAAATTCAACTCTGTACTCAGAAATTTGGCTTCATAAATAGCAAAGCAGACCAATGTGCTTATGTTGCAAATATAAAAGAAACTAAGTGTTATCTTTGTATTTATGTGGACGACGGGCTCCTGTTTTCTAAATCAAAATCTGCTCTGCAGTCTGTAACAAATGATTTGAAAACAATATTTGATATGAGCAATATGCTCACCTGGAAACTTTGTTGGAATGGATATCCAAGTTTCAGACAAATATATCTTTATACATCAATCCAAATATATCAAACAGTTGCTAAATAAATTTAATATGGATAATGCCAACCCCAACAGCGTTCCAGTTGACCCTCACTCAAAGCTGGAGAAGAGTGAGCACCAGCCTGACAAGAATCTTCCTTATAGAGAAGCTGTTGGTTCTCTAATGCATGTTGCCATAGTAAGCCGACCAGACATAATGTTCGCTGTGAGCTTGGTGAGTAGATTTTTGAATTGCTATGATGAGTCTCACTGGACAGCCGTCAAGAAGATTCTAAAGTATCTCAAAGACACTATCAACTTTGACCTATGCCATCATTCAGCAAAATCTTCTGAATTAGTTGGCTATAGTGATGCTGACTATGCTAATGACTTCACTACTAGAAGGTCAACAACTGGATACATTTTCTTCAAATGTGGAGCTGCTGTAACATGGTGTAGTCAAAGGCAACACACTGTCGCTTTATCGACTACAGAAGCGGAATTTATGGCCGCATGTGGTGCCACCAAAGAGGCTATTTGGATCAAACAGTTATTATGTGATCTTGGTGAATTTGAGCAACAAACAGTAGTGATAAATATAGACAATCAAAGTGCAATAAGTGTTATTAAAAATGTTAACTTTCACAAGAGGTGCAAACATATAGACACTAAGTATCATTTTATAAAGGAAAAGTATTATGCTAAAGTTATTGATTTAAAATATGTTTCAACATGCAATCAACTTGCTGACGTTCTAACTAAGGCTTTACCTAGAGATAAATTTCAATATATGAGAGATCAAATTGGAATGTTATCCAAATATATGTTATGGAATCTTTAATCTAAACAAGTATGTACCTATGTTTGTTTACTTTATTTTACTGTAATAATTTAGTACATAGAAGGCTTAAATTTGACAGGAGTGTTAAACTAATTTTTAAATTTGCCGCTCTATCTTACCGATTTTTAACTGACCTATGGCATCAATGGTAATGTATCGATGACAGTCTATAAAATAATAAACTCTCTTATTTTCTTGGTACAACGAGTGTGGTTTGATTTCTCTAAATTCCTATAAATAAAATCAAAGTCAACATATATATAGTTTTATAACATATTCTTTATATATAATGAAAGTAATAGTTTGCACAACTTTTATTCTGTTATCCTTACTAAGTAATTTGTATATCTCTTTCGAAACCTTATTGCCTATCATTAACAGGTTTAACGTGCTTGGAACCTTTGAGAGCTTATTTATTATTTAGAAAATAATAATATATCACATTTTTCAGAGGCAAATCGATGGGAGGATCTAGTGCTATAAACTATATGGTATATATGAGAGGAAACCGAAGAGATTATGACTCTTGGGCAGAAATGGGAAATCATGGATGGAGTTTTCAAGAGGTAATCTCATTATTTCATAACCGACTTTAAAAGGAGGAAGTACTCAATTCGACTGTTATGAGCGTTGTGAAGTGTGTTACTTCAGAGCGCTTTTTCAGGTGAAGTGATATTTATATCTCTTTTTTTCTTTGAAAGCTTGTTCTTCTCGTGTGGTCCCATATATTTGATCAAGACCTGACCAGCAGTTTTTTGAGTTATTCTCAATAATGCGTATTTAATTGACTTCGTATACATTAATGATATTTCCATTTTATTTATATTGAAGTCACTTGTACAATTTTTAAATTTTACTACCTATAAGACAAAATTCCGCTGAAGCAGCTAATGGAGAAAGAGGAAAAAAGGAGAGCGTATTTTCATTCCCCCGCACAATTCCTGCTAAAATTATGATTTACTACAATAGTTCACCAGTTCAGAGTCAGATTTTAAAAGTGGCGTAACAATTGCCTTTCTGTATGTTTGCTATTCGAAAGTATCGATTGCTTAACATCCTCACAGTTAATAATAATCGAACAATATGGTTTACACACTAAATTTTACTTTAAATTCTCCTATTTACTGAGGAGCCGACTTCAACTATAATAACATTCGTTTTTACAAGGTAGCATCAAAAATAATGTATCTGATTACTTCGATGACGAAGTCACGATAACGACGAACTGTAAATAAGTATGATCTCAGGCTGTGATTTATTAAATGATATCTTTTTTGATCTACATTCGAATGAAGCCTGCTTCTGATTAAACTTCGGTAGGACGTTGCGCGCACCCGTAAATGATAGTGATTAAAATAGTAAAGCTGGCAAAACTAGCAAAATATAATTTATTAATATTTATAATGTATTATGTCTTTTATAATGTATTATGTATTTTATACGTGGTAGAGCCATGCTGCAGTTATATTAGTAATATAGTTGTAGCACGAATGGGTCGGCTCGACCGGGGAGGGACCACGCTCTCACAGAATACCAGCGTCAAATAGTAGCTTAATGCTGCTGTGTTTCGTATGGTGAGTGTAGAGAACCGGAGACCCTTTTTACTGGAAACGAGGCATTCCATCTGAGTCCTCACGGGTGACAACGCATCTGCATTTTGATTCGTAATCGAATATAGATGTAGATGTCTATGGGCCACAGCAACCACTTATCATCAGGTGGACTGTGTGCTCGTTTGTCACCCTATCCTATAAAAAAAATTAGATGATTTCAGTAATGCGTAAAAAATCAACAGTAATAACTCTAAAAAAAATAATAATAAAGGCATATGGAAGCGACGACCCTATCGCCCACTGACGTAACAGCTAAGTGACAAAACTGCTACGTCGGTGCAGTCAGTCAGCACCTTGCCAAGAGGTGTGAGCGCCGTGTCTCGACAGTACTGAGGGTGCAAAGGCCCGTTTATGCTTACGGCCGTAGAATAATACAATGAAACGGTGCCGGGCCTGGGCGTTTCCCGTTAATTGGCGCCCAAAAATCGATGATGGATTATAATAGACAACGTAAAGGGCCGCTGCCTGGAGGTCGCCGGGGCGCCAAGCGCGAGGAGCAGCAAGATCACCTAGGCTTGATGTCGGCAGGGTCCTCTTGGGCTCGGCAAGCGGCATCCGTTAGTTTCTTTCCCTTTTCCCCCTAACCCTCAGCCG